ATATATATATATGTATATAGATATATATCTATATATATATATATATATATAGATATATATATCTATATCTATATATATCTATATATATATCTATATAGATATATATAATATATATAAAAAATACACACAGACAGTTTATATACACAGATAATACCATCAAACACAAGTATGACACATTGTGACAAACAAAGATCTTCATCAAGTCTTTTACACATTTGATGATGTTATTCATGTAACATTTATATGTGCGTTTATTACATCGTTCATTTGTGACACTCAGACGTGTAACCATCAGTAAAGAGACACAGTACTCATGAGTACACAGGAGGTATAAATAGTACTACAGACAGATGCAGTAACGTTTAGTGGAGGATCGAGGTCACGATGTGCAAGACGCTGCTGGTCCCCACAAACACCTGCAGCCACACAGAGACACACACACACACACCTGGCTGACTGCGTGTGTGTGTGAGTGTGTGTGTGTGTGTATACACACATGGCTGACAGTGTGTGTGTGTGAGTGGTTTCCTCAACATTGCCTTCACATAAGAAGAAGTTGAATATCTCATGTGTGTATTGTAACAGATAATAATGATAATTGTTCTCAAAGTTTTCAAGGAGCAGAAAGTTAAAGTTAACTTATTAAAGTCCAGATGATTCAACATGAATTCAAATAAAGTGATGTCATCAGGAACCATTTAAAGAAACAAACTTTGATGTTAACGTTCTTGTGGAGTAATTAGTCGACTAATGGATTATTGGAGGTGTGGTTTCAGCTCTCGATGACATCATAGTTGATCAGTGTGTGTGTGTTAGTGCGTGACTTCAGAGTGTGTGTTCGGAGGACGGAGGCGTCTGATCGCTGCAGACTGAAAGGAGACGGATTCCTGAGAGCCGACGTGGAAACTCTCCTCCTGCTGGGGAAGACCGGGGACGTGGTGTCCACCTGGCCCTACAGGTACCTGAGACGCTTCGGACGGGACAAGGTGAGACACACACACACACACACCTGGTTCATTTTAGGGTTGTGTTTAGTTAATATTAGACTCCATAAACAGCAGAAAGAAAGAAAGTCAGGATAAAATATGAATAAAGTCCTAATAAAGGAAATATAAAGTCAGGATCTAGTCCAGATACATTCCAGATTAAGTCTGGATAAATTAATAAGAGTCAGAATAAAGTCAGAATAAAGTCAGAATAAAGTCACTTTAAAGAGAAAATAAATTGAAGATAAATTGGAGATTCCTGTCCTTCAGTCCACGTTTTCCTTTGAGGCCGGGCGGAGGTGCGAGTCCGGTGAGGGCAGTTTTGAGTTCGACACCAAACAGGGGAACTTCCTATTTCAGGCCGTGGAAACGGCCATCAACCTGCAGCGGATCTCCTTCCCCCAGAGGCAGACCTCCAGTGGTACGAGTCCAGAGACCCCCCAGGACAAGAACCTGCCGCTGCTGCCCCACAACCCGCCTCTGGTCCAGACCAGGACGCCCCCGCTGCCTCAGCTCCGCGGCCATATCCCACAATCCCCTGCTGCTCAGGTGAGCTCACACTGCAGGTTATCTGTCCGTGCTTTCAAAATAATGTCATAGCTTTTAGAATCGGAGAGGATTTATGGCAGAATTTTCAAAATAAAGTAAGAATAAACTCAGGATACAGGATTTAAGAATGATGTCAGGATTTTCAGAATAAAGTCAAGACTTCCAGAATGAAGTCAAGATTTTCAGAATAGAGTCAAGACTTTCAGAATAAAGTCAATACTTTCGGAATAAAGTCACAATTGTCCATAATTTCAGAATAAAATCACAACTGAGTAAAGCTTTAAGAAAACAAACAAGGAGATTACACTAAACCCTGTTCATAGTTCTGGTAAAGAGAGATTCAGAGAGTACAAGATTTTATCATCATTTTTTCAGTTTCATTTAATTTTTTTAATTTATTTCCCCGGGTATCTTCCATCAGACTTTAGACTCTGAACTGTCTGATGTTTTGTGTGCAGGCAGCTGACGGCGTCTACAGCATGGTGACTAACAGCCATCATCACAAAGACAAAGAGAGCTCCACTCCTTCACAACAACAACATCAACGCCTCCAGCTGGTAGGAAACAAACTGCAAAACACCAAATCTCAAACCAACAACATGATGCTAATGATGATGATGATGATGATGGCCATGATGAAACAACAGTGAGGCTCATTGATGAGTTAGTAGTTAGTTAGTAGATACATGAAGAACAAACGTTCTAATACTTCTATTACTTTATTATCTAGTACATCCCAGTACATCGTGTGTCAAACACAGTAAAGTACCAGGATGTTGTACTACAGGAGGGTCAATGGTCAAGGTACCATGTCATGATGAAGTAGTACTTCCAGACTGAATGTGTAATGTGTGTAACATAGATGATTGATCCGACGGTAGATGATTGATCTGAAAGTAAATGATTGATCAGAAGGTAGATGATTGATCTGAAGGTAGATGATTGATCCGACGGTAGATTATTGATCCGACGGTAGATGATTGATCCGACGGTAGATGATTGATCCG